AAAGCAGCGACATGATGAAGCAGCAACATGATGAAGCAGCAACATGATGAAGCAGCAACAAGAAGCAGCGACATGATGAAGCAGCAACACGAAGCAGCAACCTGATGAAGCAGCAACACGAAGCAGTAACACGATAAAGCAGCAATACGATAAAGCACCGACATGATAAAGCAGTGACATGATGAAGCAGCAACACAAAGCAGCAACTCCTGAAACGTTTGAGAGCAACCAGGAAGAACTCACAGTGAAAAACTGCAGCTGGGCTCAGACTCTCCAGGACGGCAGCCTCACTCCTCCTCGGGTCTGAAGAAGAATGTTTCACTTCCAGATACAGGGAGGTCCGAGGAGGAGGAGGAGGAGGAAGAGGAGGAGGAGGAGGAGGGTAAATCCAGGAAGTTGTGCTCCGGCAGACAGAACTTGAGAACGGTTTAGCTGTTGCTGCAGAAACTTTAGTTTTGGTCCTAAAACAAAAAATACAAACATGCTGGTGATGAAGAAGAGCTGATGAAGAGTGTTGGTAAATTATTTAGATGGACCGTGGGTTTCTGATCTGCACAGAACCGGGTCATAATGTTTTTATAATCCCGTCTTTGAGCAGATCAAAGTATATTTTTTAACCGAACTATTGTTTTGTAACTGTGAAATTGCTCATTTTGATTTAATGACGTGATCATAAGACGCTGTTTTATAATAAAAATGTTTGCAGGCTGTAGTTACATTGTAAATACTGGTGCTCATCAACAGACTGTGAATTCTGACTTCCTTGAATGTTAATTTTTGATGCTACGGTTACGCTGAACATATGATCTTTTCATGGATTCTGTAATTGATGACATAATGAGGTGCTAATGGGGTGAAATATGAACATTTACAGTTTATTTGCAGTATTATGGACCGTTACGGTGATTTTTCTTAAACTCACATGATTGAACAACATAATTTCATATGCTATATATTAAAGGCATTACTTTTAATGAATGTTTGAATAATAATAATAATAGTAATTGCTTCCCGTTTAATTTTTGACTGAAAATATTTCATATTTCCATACATGTCAGTCCACGTAAGATCCACTGAGATCACACTTAGCCACGCCCCCTCATACACTGACAGGTTGAGCTCCACTTCTGTGAAGGACGAGTCCAGGACCCTATAAACGAGTAATGACACGGGACATCTGGGCTCTTCTGGTTTGTGAACGCGTCACAGACCAGCGAGACCAGCGCTGTAGCTGTAACCTTTTCCTGCCTTGATTTTAATACAACTGGTAAAACTGAATTCATGCTTCCTTGATTTATTGTAGTGTGAGTGCTGCTTCTGAGGGAGGGTCGAGCTGGGGGGAGCGACGTGGGCTGGAGGCGGGTCCTGGATCCGAGAGGGGGCCTCTGGGTGGCCGGTGACCCGCAGCTAGCCCCCCGTCGTAACAAGAGGTTTGAGTTTTTACTGATAATCTGCAGAAAACAAAATCTCTTGGTCCGTTTTGAGTTTCAAGTCTTTTTATTCCAGAGTTCCTCTACGAGTTGTTGCTGTTTGAGGTTTCATCTCTTAACGTCATAATTTAAACCTTTTATTGATTTTGGTTCTGGTCGTTTCTTTGGTCCGACAGAAAGTTGATGAGCTTTAGATTCAAACTGTCAAAGGTTTAGTATTTTTATATTTCACTGTGAATTCAGCTCCACCAGCTGACTGGAGGAGGCTCAGACCGCTCGTCTCGTCTTTCAGACCAGCTCCAGTCATTCACGTGTTTAACCTGTGAGACAAAACCAGGGGGACAAAAACCCCACGTCAGCTGAGGGTCCTGCTTTGGTCTTAGGACTGGGGTATTCAACTGGAGGCCCATGGGCCACTTCTGACCCACAGGTGACCAAGAAAGAATGAGTGCTCAATGAGTTCATAATAAATAAATAAAAAAACAATCAGCAAAAAATCAGTGAGAGACTTTAAAAATCTGCAATGGCTGATATTTCAGTCAGAGAGGAAACACTGGTGCCCACCTCACGTTTGATCTTTTTCACGAGCATGCACTTATGAGCCCCCTCCCCTCTGACAGCATTGGCTGCCGGGCCGGGCCGGGCCGGGCCAGACTCACCCTGAGGCTTCAGTCTTCACACAGGACAGCACTTTCCTCCTGATACACCGAGAACAACCTCATGGTGTCAGTTCAACAGGAAGTTCAACAATAAACAGAATTCAGTTAATCAAATTAAACAGACACGTCTTTGCTTTCATCTGGGGCCTACAAATGTCCATGTTTGGTGCTAATAATGTTTGATTTTAACAATTAAATTATTAGAAACAACTGGAAGACTGACCTGACAGCCAGTGAACTAAATAAAAGAAGTCCCACACAAGACTTGCCTTCTTGATTTTACTCAAGACCTTTTATTTATGATCTGTAACTGAAATACACAGAAAGAGAAAACTGAATTACTAAAACACGTCTCCTCCTGTCACTTGAACGCCTCACACTTATCAACTTGGCACTGAACCAAAATGATCTTGTTTTTTCTGAACATACCACAGATGAGCGTGTCCGCAGGCCCCGCGCGTACATGAGCTGCTCTCTGCTCCATGAACCGAAGCGCTTCTTGTCTCCAACAGGTCACTCCTCCGGCCTCATGACACTCACCTGCAGAAATAAAGGGTGACTCGATTTACCGGAAAAACCATAGATAGAATCACTAGATAACATAGATATCATATAATAACTAGATCCAGCATTGACCTGTATCACCTGTTGGCGCTGACGAGCCGTAGAGCCGCCATCTTGGAACGGTCGCCCGCTCCACTCTGTGACCTGTTTGACGGAGACATGAAGAATCTGTTGAATCAGTCAGAGCTGAATCTAAACTCATTCTCAGGATTTGTTCCTCTGTAAATCTCAGGAGTACACACATTAAAGATGAACACATGGTTCAGTGTTTTTAAATATTCTTGGTGGGGTTAACATTAACACTAATAAAATATTACTATGACACGTTTGCAAAACTCACAGTCACTGATACATTTTTATTAAAATTTATATTATATATATATATATATATATGTGTATATACACATCTAAATCAGTCATATATACAGTTTAATAATTATTTTATATATACACACACATTATAATATTACAATCTTATATATACATTATATCTATTTTATATATACACACATCTCATCTATGTATATATATATGTGTATATATATATATATATATATATATATAT